TTTTTTTTGTTTGTTTGTAAGCCCAGGGTGTTGTTGAGGCCAAGGACTAGACCCACGGTGATCACAGGCAGCGGCAGCCAGTGGTTGTCCTGACAGGATAGGCCACATTCCCTACCCTTTCCCACGTTAATGCTCCCCCCTATCCCAACTATCCTACCTCAGTGTGACCAGCACTCAGGACCATCACCCTACCAGTTTCGAGGGCAACTTGGACCAGACAGCAGTGACAAGCACCCCCTAACACTATAATCCCCACCCCCCTTTTCAAAGTTTTTGGGTGGGAAGTACCGTCCCTACCCTGCCACTAACACCCCAGTGTGACCAGCACTCAGGACCATCACCCTGCCAGTATCAAGGGCAACATCGACCAGACAGCAGTGACAAGCACCCCCTAACACTATAACCCCCACCCCCCCTTTTCAAAGTTTTTGGGTGGGAAGTACCGTCTCTACCCTGCCACTAACACCCCCAGCCCACTTTTCAAAGTTTTGGGCGGAAGGTTAACGTCTGCAGAAAGCCAGGGGTACGTTGTTGTCAATGTCTGCTGAAGCCCGTGCTTGCTGAAACCCCACCACTAACACCCTCACCATAACCCCCCCGACCCCTCAACCCCTGAAATCCGTTCAAAGTTTTCTTTGCAGATTTGGGGAGATCTCGGTGAGCGCAGTCCAACCATGTTTTCAAAAAAAAAAAAAAAGAATAAAATTGACCCACTTTTGGGCCCAACCGGAATTCTGGTTGGACCACTGAGCGGCCCGGTCCAACCGGCCGGTTGCCGGCACAGCCATGGTTTTTTTTCCCTTTTTTTAAGTTTTAACTTTTTTTAGAACTTTCTCCCCTTTTTTTTTATTTAAAAAAGAACTATGCCATATTCTTCTCTCAATTTTTTATTATTATTATTTATTTTATTTTTCAAAGAAAACCGAGTTCAATTTCATTACACATAGTCAATGGGTTGAGGCCGGGGACCTCACAATTCTACCCGGAGTTATCCCGGCAGCTTCAGCCGGTTTAGCTTACAGGCCTAAGCCCGCGGAGGCCAAAGCCTTTGTCTTTCCATGGACCAACTGTACCATCAGTCGCTAAGATGACAAATGTCTATCCTCCCTCTAGCCTCTGACCTCATCTGGCATGAAATTAAGGTCACCCCTGATCTACACTATGTGGAGGGGGTCTATGTGATGAATTCAAGTGCGATGCCTATCCTAATCAACTAGAGCCTACTGCCTATATCTAGCCGAGCTGTCACGTTCTGTTAACAGAAATGCGGCCTAATTAGCGGCCTTGAATCACCCTTGAAGAGGAGAACCTGCCCCCCCCCTTACCCCTGCCTAACGCCGCGAGGCGGTCACAATCAGCAGTAGGACAGCAGGGTTTGCCGATAACCTGTTTTCAATGTTTTCACGGTTATGAATGCCGAATGACTGTGTTGAATTTTATTAAACCCTTCTCCCAGGCAAACTTTGCACCTTTTCTCATTGTTTTCGCATTAACTGTGACGAAGTCGACCACCAGTGCATTCTTTGGATGAACAACAAATGCTACCAGACCAAAATGGCTGCTGGCACCAGCCAAAAAGAAAAGAAAATGCGCCGCTAGGGGCTCGTTCTTCTTTGGCACACAGTTGAAATCCGCGTCAGGAGAAAGAGGCTTGGAGGTAGTTGTGGTTTAGATTGCATGAATTTAGAGAGGAAAAAGGAGCAGGATTACATGAAATTTCACATTGGAGCTTAATTTAGTTCAATTTCCCCGCTTTTCTCTTCGACTTGGAAATTATGCTGTTGTGTTAATGGCTTATAGGTACACTTGGGCGTGTGGATTGCGACCGTTATTCGAAGGGAACAAGGCACAGAGAGCACTGGAGACAGTTTTCAAGTATGCCATGCTTTCTGAACCTTCTAAACCTTTCACCACATCTTGCGTTGTATTTTTTCAAGCGGTGCGTCGTTGACTGTTCTGTGAATAACATTCTAGACTTTCAAGTAGGATTCTTTGAACTTGGTCAGTTTATCAACAGTTACATATCAGTGTACTAGAGTTAACGGTCGACGCTAACGGCGGCCGTGGTGAGAGGTGGTAAATCCTTCCTTAGGGAAGTCACCAATGCCGTCTACTCGGGCCTCTCGGCCATAACGGGGAGGAGGAGCGTGAGTGGGTAGACGTTGTAACTTGTATGACTTTTGCCGGGGGAATAGGAACCAGACTGACGACGTTCTACAGAATGGAAGGAGCCAGAGCCCGAAGGGCCCTGTTTTGTTGTGGTGGGTGGGGGGGCGGGAGGGGAGGGGAAGAATGGAATCCGATGGATGATAAACCAGGGTCCAGAAACTTATAGGGGTGTGCATTGGATGTCAGCCCAACCTTTCCCGTCTTTGGAAGCTTCCACGAGGACAAAGAACCAGTTAACGCTGTGGACCTCGGAAGATATTGAATTTAGGTCCGTGTTTGCGGCCTTCGATTGTGTGTAAGATGCTTCTTTGTTGACTTAGGCCATACTCCCGTGTACAAATGTTACGTCACAAATTAATCAGTAATAAACTAGGCTACCAGCCAGGCCGCCTGGGTCACCCTATTGTCGTGGGCGGTCCGTCCGTGCAAGGACCAGGGAGGGTCCCAGCAAAGAAGATTAAAAAGAAAACAAAAAAAAAACAATGTTATGCCGAAAAATAAACTGAACAACTTTTGCCTCAGGCTCACATCGAAATTCTTTACCGAACTTAAAATTTAAATTCAAATTTAAAAATATTTTCTATTTTTTTATTTTTTATGTTTGTAGGCCCAGCCGGGCAAGTGGTCCCGGGCCAGTCTGGTAGCCTAGGTAATAATCTAATCATGATCGCTCTTTTTTTTTTTTTAATGGGCAACAGTCGTGATATATATGTTCAGTGAAAGAGCCTTTATAATACATGGCGGCAAACGGGCCCAGCATCCCTCACATATGTGTAGGCTGTTCATCTGGTTGCATATGGATTCGAACTTGAACGGGCCCAGCATCCCTCACATATGTGTAGGCTGTTCATCTGGTTGCATATGGATTCGAACTTGGGTCTGTATTTCGACAATTCATGGGTGTACCGAGCTATGCCCGTTGGTTATTTTTCTTGTCTTGTTTTAACAGTTCAATCTAGAAATATTTCGGCGTATTTCTTTGTTTTGCTAAGTTTAGGGCTTGTGCAAGGAAGATGAGCAATAGCGAACTTCAGCAATCAAACAGCATCATACATATGAGTCCAGATAGTCGTGACCTCGAACCAACACCAGAATTGCATCACGAGATTCACCAAATAAGAACACACCAAGAGTTCAT